TGTATTCTCCAAAAATGAAAAAAAAAAAAAAAAAAAAAACTTGCTCACAGGTGTTGATAACAATAATAATAGGTTAGTGGCATTACGTAATTCTATTAATAGTATCATATCATATGTTTTTGAAAGGAATAACATTTTGGTGTGCCGCAAGTAGAAAAAGGTTGAAAAACACTGAAATAGACGACTCTTAAATTTCCGTTATTAAAAGTTACTAGCAAAACAAATAAAATAAAATAAAATAAAACGTAAAGTGATCTCTGTTTTATTTTTCATTATGATTAAAATATATGTTTAAAGTTATTGTACTATTTGTTCGTGTAAAACTAGGTAGTCCATTAGTATAAATAATCTTAACTCAATTACATATAAAATTTTATAAAATGTTTAAAATCAGCCAAATTTATAAAACCAAAACTAATGAAATTACAAAAACAATTAAATAAATTTAAATTCGATTACCTTATATACGAGAGATGAAAGAAGAGACTACCTCGTCTTTCAACTATCTATCTCTGTTGTTGAGATTAAGGAAAGACAATCAGACGGGCCGACGAGAGTGGGAATTTATAGCTCTACAATTTCTCTACTTGAAAAAAGTGTTTTACTTAATTAACTAGACAATTAATTGTTATTCTTATTTTTAAATGCCTGATAAAAACAATAAGATAAGACAAATTTATGAGAAAATTTTCTAACCAAATATTCATTTTAGATTAATATGTTAAACTAATGTTTAATGCATCGCTGGGAAGAAAAATCGTACTATCGTTCAATAACTAAAGCTAGGACAGCTTAGTATTAATTATCACACGAAAGTTATATGCTTTTCGTACCTACATGTAGGGACGTCAAGAGCTTGTACGGGGACTTTCGCCTGACCAGACCCTTTAGTTATTTTTTGAACGAAAGAAATGACAGAAAGTTTTGTTTATTAATGAAAAGCAGTCTTAAAAATATATTTTCTTAGTAATAAGTTTGTTAGTGATTAAAAGCTTTATTTTAAAATAGTTGGTCTATACTGTCATCTAAGTTTTTTCAGAGCTAGAGAATAACCCCAGCTCACCCCTCTCGAAGGTCCTGATCATATGCTATCCTATGAAGATTTTTCCACTAATATAATTACCGCCACAAATCCCCCATACTTGTAGCTGATCGAAGCAGGCATCACATGTTTGATAATAAATTTCTTATATTATTTATGCAAATTATCTGTGTGTTTTCTGAATGATGAAAAATTTTACGTTGTTTTAGTTACATTAATAAATACCTGATTTTTTTGCAACAGTATGCCAAAAATAGCATTACAGGAGGTATACGTAATATATATGTTACAGTCAAAACCCGTTTTTAGTTAGAACGCGTTTTAACTAGTTGAAACTAGTTTATACTGAATGTTTTTGTTAAAACCCGTTTTGTCTAGTTAGTTTTTGTCTAGTTTATTAGTTTTAATTTGAGTTAAAACTAGTTTTAACTCAAATTCATTTTTGACTAGCAGTAAATTCTAGTTTTAACTAGACAAAACGGGTTTTGTCTAGTTAATTTACTGCTGTACATGTTTTGACTTTAGATAAAACTAGTTTTAACTTTTAACATTAGTTAAAACTAATTTTAGCTACATAAATATGTTTGGG